AAAAAAAAAAACATGAGGGTTGCAGGAAATACACCAAAATTCTTCTCTTCAAAGTGACTTGTTTAATCAAGGCGCGAAGGCTAAAATTTGTATATATCACAGTATCCATGTGGGTTGCCTCCAAGGAGGTAAAGCATTGAATCGCATAGACTTCCCAGGTGGGTGAAATTTCTGCAGCCCACAGAACAGGCAGGGAAAGCACCCTGGTAAGAGTACAGGTTGAAAGTGTGGTTTGAAACCAGGTGGAAAGTATATTTGGAACAAGTGTATTTTGGGTTAGGGAAACAACCTGAAGCAACTAGAGAGGCCGCAATACCATTATGCATTTTCAGCATGTGCCATATGCAGTGGGGCCACAGAGGAGGGATTACTGCAAGGATAACCAGGCAGGAAAGGTCAGTTCTGACTGTTGGGATGTCGCTTAAACCATAACTTCTGCCCATACTGCTCTTAGGCCTGGAGCGCTCCTCATAGGTATCTCTGGCTGAGACAGCCACAACCTTTCTTGAACGTCCAGGTGAAACACCACTTGCAGAAAGACGTTTCTTTTCCCACCAGTAGAAGTAACATCTTCCCTGCAATGAATTCTCATTTTGGGTTCTCTTTATTCCTCTTATCTAATGTGACCACACACACTGGTTTGCCTTTGACATTCTAAATTATGCCTATTATCTCATGGCATTCGTAATAGTTCATCTTTTCATGTGGAAAAAACATGCTTGTTTGTATGATAAAGTCACCCACTTAAAACTCTTATCACTTCTCTCTTGTGTGCCTGTCAGTTACATTGTATAACTATTAAAATGTCCGTGGCAGGAGAGATCACACCTTTCTATTCCCAGTACAGATCGTAGTAATTATGAAATGAATGTAAGCAAAAAGACTGAAAACTCTGGACTTTGCGTCCTTAATTTTTCTTTGTTTTGTCTGATAAAGTCACCCACTTAAAACTCTTATCACTTCTCTCTTGTGTGCCTGTCAGTTACATTGTATAACTATTAAAATGTCCGTGGCAGGAGAGATCACACCTTTCTATTCCCAGTACAGATCGTAGTAATTATGAAATGAATGTAAGCAAAAAGACTGAAAACTCTGGACTTTGCGTCCTTAATTTTTCTTTGTTTTGTCCCTAGCAACATCTGCTTTTGTATCCCCATATACCTGGTGCACGATAGGTCTGTGAATGAGACTTGACATCTATAGGTTTCTAGTTTTGGATTTTGCTGGATATGGCTTTAGCCCAGTCAAAAAGTGTGTCCTCGTGAATCTCCCCTTCTCTCTGTGCACATTATCCACTGACAGTTTGGGTTGGTGTGAAGGCCTGAAGAAACATTTCTTCATAAATCTGTAGTATCCAATCGAGCAAGGTGCATCAGTGTGCTTTACCCTCAATTGCCTGCGGGTGACTAAAACAGCTGTGTTTTGCAAGATTGAACCTTTTCCGTTATAAGTTCTTTGTTAGGAGCTTTAAAATAAAAATTAATGAGGACAGATCATATTTCAGTTGATCGGTACATTGATTTAACAATTCACCAAACCAGTTACATTGAATTTTTATTTTTATTCCAATTAGTGTTATTTCCTTGGAGTTTCTAGCCTGGATTTCCACTCTTGATTTATAACCTTTTATGGTTTCAACGGCCTTGTCTCTCTTCTTAAACTTGTTAAGGAGTTAAACTAGCGGATGTTAATGGGAATAAAGGGTATAAACTTTCCCATATTGTTTATTTACAGAGTAGTTTTCTGGATAACTCTATAAACTTCCCAATTAGGAGAGGAAAGGATCGATACTTAGGAGGTGTTGGCCTCCAGCCTGTTTCAGTGCATTATTGCAGTGTGGATCCATTGCCCTCCACATCTTGTAGACTAAGGATGCCACTTCTACTTGAATACACACAATAAAATCATTACACAGAGGCAACAACCAGGGCTTAAATCTGAGCCGCGTGAAAATGGGCCGCATGCAGAATTAACCTGCGGGAGACCCTCACATGGAGTCCTGAGGGTGAATCCGTGTTCTGCACAGCCCTGTGCTTACCGTCATTCCTTGTGACCACTGCTACCCTTTGGAAATACTTCTTGGTAAGTGTTCCTGACAGGCTCTGCTAGTACGGTCTTCCTCCTCATCTCTACCCTCCGTTATAAAAGAGCCTTGGTGCCTATCACGTCTTTAACCTTGAAGTAAGGTTTCCCCATGGGTCACACTGCTGGCTTTGGACTGGTTAAGTCTTTCCTGTGTTCTACCATACATTGTAAGAGGCGGAGCAGCACCCCTTGCCTGTAGTTGCTAGATTTTAGTTCTGTCCTGCATCATGGAAGCCGAAAGCGTCTTCAGAAACAATCCAATGATTCTCAGAGGTGGGAATGAAAAATTGCTGCCATTACAACAACTGCCTTGGAGTCCTTAGAGCAGGCTTTTAAGAAGGCAGAAGAAGTGGCCTTAGAGGGACACCCACCCGCTCTGTGAGGGTGACCATTAATCCGGATATGTCAACTTCCCCGGATGAAGCCCCAGCAGATCACTTGGTCTATCTGGGTGGGGCATAAGCTTGGCACTGAATGGGTCCTGGCTTCTTCCCCTCTGGTTCCCTTACCCTGCTCTGCTTCTTAGCCACCAGGAACTAAGCAGCTTTGCTCCTCTACAGCCTTCCGCCGTGATATCGCTCATGGGAGCCACTCAATCGTGGACTGTGACCACACAAATTAAACTCCCTTTAAGTTGTGGATGTTGGGATTTCTGTCTAGGCTGACTAACACAGCGACAGCGTAAGTCCTTTCGCTGCTCGGATACTTAGTTGTCTTCTGGATTTGCTGAGATTTCAACTGCATCACATACAGAGACACTTCCACACACAGGGCGCTCCCCCATGCACCCTGCTCGCTGTCGTTTCGTACATAAAGTCTGCGGACTGTTCCAGTGCCAGTCGCTCCGGCTTAAGCAAAGCTGACTCTCTGTTTCCTCCTCCCTGAAAACAGAGCACGATGAATGTGGCAGTGGGCAGCATAACTGTGACGAGGATGCTATCTGCACCAACACCGTCCAGGGACACAGCTGCACCTGCAAACCAGGCTACGTGGGCAACGGGACCATCTGCCGAGGTAGGCCTGCCACCTCCGGGGTGAGCCATGCGTGCTCCAGCCTGCCTGGGCTCTCTGTGCGCCACTCACAGATGCTCTCGTGAGCACAGCTAGGGGTCCTGCTCCTGCTCAGTCAGCTGGCAAGAATACTGGGCGGGAGAGAAGGAAAACAACGCCCAGGCTTAGCTTTGGGGCTGTAGGGGTGGTCTGGGAGTGCAGCTCCACAAGCCGATGGCTCTGTTCCACTTTGCATCTTAGAGTGTGTCAGGGAGGCTCCGTGGCTGAGGTGAATTTCCTTTGCGGTGAGCTTTGCTTAGCAGGTAAGTTGACACCGTTCCAGTCCCCAGTGAGGTTATCTGCTTGAGTAGGAATCAGAATGCTTTAAATTTTGAAGTTAATGTTTAGCAATTCAGACGAGGCCAGTGCTCTGGCTTCCCTCTGCATTTAGGATAAAATTACACTTCCTTTTTTTTGTTTTCCAACGCCTTCAGAACCTTGTCCCTGACTCCTCTTAGCTGCCACCTCTTTGTCCACACCCTCAGGCCCTCCGCATGAGCACAGTTTCCTTATGGTTCCTTCAGCACTGCTGTCCCGCAGCCTGGAGGTGAATTTCCTTCGTGTCTCTAGGGTCCCTGCATGGAGGGAACCATTCTCTAAACACCTTGTTTATAATAGGACCCTTAGCACTTCTCAGCCAGAGCTTTGTTTGATAGCTTTCTTCATAAACCTGAAAAAATATTATGCATTGGTGTGTTTCTCCCATTTTCCTATTCTTGTAACAGTGACATCTTGGTCTTATCGCCGTAGTTTGTACCTAGCACCTAGGAGTCTGATACCACCATAGGTACTCATTAACCTTGTGTTAACTGACTCAGTCAAAGAGCGAAAAGACACAAACCACTGAAAAAAAGAAATAACGTTTAGGAAAACAAACGAGATAACCTGTGAGATAGGTGTACTTATTATTCTCATGGTAGAGGCCATACAGTTCAGATCCAGAGCGGTCCAGTAACTCACCCAAGGACACACACAGCACATCATCAGGACTCCTACAAGAGATGTCCCATGATAAGAAATAACTGACAGCGACTAAGCTAGCATATTTATGCACTGGATTGAAAGAGAATTGGCTGGTTAGTTTGTGGTAAACAGCCTCACAAGAGACTGAGATAATGAATTGGTGAAACTACTTTGGAAGAGCAATTGACAAAAATCTGTCTATACTCAAAGTATGCATTTTCTTGATTCCATCAGTTTTACCTTTTCAAGTGAATCCTGGAAAAATAAAAGGTCACAAGCAGGAAGACATGCGCATATAGCAATGTTTTTGCATCTGTATTTTAATTCACTTAAAATTAAGAACAACCAAAATATCCACCAGTAATGGATATTTTGGGTTTGCATTTATATTTAGTTTGGGTGTTTGCTCATGGAGTACTGTGCAGTAGTGGTTTTTTTTTTGTTTCTTTTTGTTTTTTTTTATCGGGGATTGAACTCAGGACCTTGTGCTTTCAAGGCAGGTGGAGGCACCACTGAGCTAAATCTCTGGCCCAGGATGCAGTAGTTTGAAACCCTAAGCACGTATATGTAAAATGGAAACACACACACACAGATATGCACTGAAAGGTCTGCAAGTCATATTTTTGCGAAGAAGAAAGACAAATAAAAAGGGCAGTATATATATTTTATATATATATATATGTATATATATATCATCTTATACCTGCTATTTTAAAATATCTATGCACATATTTATGTAAATGTAGGGGGACTAGAATATACAAACTATTCACTTTTATGCCCAAGGGTGTGAGAAAAAAGAATATTCACTTATTGTTGTGAATTCTATATTATTTGCATCTTCCAGTGGGAATTTGTACATGAAATATCTGTGTGGTTTTTAAAAGGTCCATAAAGTAAGTAAACTAGTGCACAGTTTTTAAAAGAAGGCTAAGAACATTTTTAAAGCAAAAGCAAAAAAAAAAACAACAACAAAAAAACAAAAAACAAAAAACAAAACCAAAAAAACCCCGACAAAAAACGAATGTAGTTCCATGGTTTATCAGGCCCAGTGATACCTGGATATCAGTGCTGTAAATTAAGGAACAACCTAAGGATTTGATTTTGATTTTAATGTTTTTTATGATGAGAATTATGTTGTTTCATAAAATAATATTAATTTCCCTTGTTCGATGGTTTTGCATTTGCTAAGGCCTCTCGTGTTGCGATAAGTGGCAGTTTCACCTGTGTGGAATTTGAAAGTCTTGAAAAATTCAAGTTCAGATGATGTTCCTGGTGTCCACAGACTCAGAGGGGAAACGTATTTTTCCATCAGAAGTTATACATTAGGAAATAATTTTCTTAAAACGATTCTCATGGCCAATCACATTGACCTCAGTAAGAGGGAGAATTCTGTTAACAACTGCTGTGTGGGGAAGAGATGTGGTGGAGGAAAAGAATGGGAAAAGAACTTAAAAATTGGTTCAGAACTGCGTTTATGGCTGATGAGTTGAAACTTTTGTACTTTTACATGTTACCATTGGTTTAGTATTGCAAATGATTATGAAGAAAATGTGTATCATTGCGTTTTAAATTATAAAAAGCCATTCAATGCGACAATATTATTATTACAGTGGTGAAGGGGAAGAGAAGGAGCTGGGGTGGGGTGGGAGGAAGGGACTGGGGGTGCTTCATGAGCTATCTGCACCTCAGCCTTCCCCTTCTCCGGCAAGCACCGGATTTGTATCTCTGTCTCAGGGCACCCTTCCATTGCTAACTGTACCACCTACAACCGCAATGTTGGCCACATGAGTAGGGCAAGGATAACTTGTTCTTTTTTTGTCAAACATGTTCACTGTATAAAAGCTTCTCTAGGCATGTTCACAGAGTCACCTAAATCTAGATAGAATAAACACTGTTAACACTTGTACTTCCAGACTTCACACGAGGCAGTGGTTTCTGAACTAATGCCTACTGTTGGGAACTGTCCCAGATGAGCTTTGCTGGTGGCCAGTGCCTGTGGAAGATTGTTCCTCAGCTTTAGTAACTGATGCCAGATACATGCAAGGTATCTTGCTGGTTGTGTTCACGTGTTATTTCATTTAGTGCCCATCAGAACTCTGGGATGTTGATAGCCTTATTCTTTTTCAAGTAAAAATCAGGAAGAAGACACAATTGAATCTGATTTATCCCAGTTGGTGGGGATTGCTTTTATGTTTTTTAGTTTTTCTCCTCTCTCTTCTTATCCTTTCCTATTACCTATTTCTTTCTCCTTTTCTTCCCCTTCCTTTCCCTTCCTTTTCTTCTGTCTACCCGCCTCTCTCTTGCGCACACACACACACACACACACACACACACACCTGCAGAGAAGCTGAAAAGAAAAGAGAGGGTACAATGACAAGCTATAATTTTTAAAATGAGATTTTCCTTATATGTTTGGAAACTATGCTAAATGTGTGGCTAAATATTTGGCATTTGGAGTTAAATGGACAAAATGTTTGCACAGAGTTTCAAATAGGATTTGCATAACCTGACTGAGGGCTAAGGTTATCTTAGGAGGAGTGTTTATCTGCATTTCCACTTCTGCATTTAGGCTGAAATGGAAATCAGGCCTCCAGGCAGTTGTCAATATATAGCTGATGGACTAAGCCTTCTCTCTTATCCGTGATCCTTGGAAACATTCTTAATGACTGGTGACATTGACATTTATCCTGTAAATATAGAGTGAGTGTGAACTTGGTGCCTGGAATATAGTTCTGGGCATCATAAGAGCAAAAGGCAAAAAGACAGGACCCTTGGAGATTTCACCTTTCAATTTTGGCGAAAGATATGAACAAATGGAACAGTTTGCAAAATGTAAGTATGTATGTGAAAGAGACTGTTAGAGATCCTCAAAATAAACAGCTAAGTGAAAGGTGTATATATGTTAGGATCACTTTGGTTGCAAGTAATAGGGATCTACTGGCAGGACTATGGTCACATAATTTGCAGAGCCCAGGGAATAATTAAAATATGGGCTTGTTCAAAAAGCAGGACAATCTTTTCATTTGAAAGTATTAAATATAAAGCTTTTATTTTATCTTTGTGGTCTTGCTTGTGCTGTCATGGTATTTATTGGTTATTTATTTATTTATTTTGGTACCAGGGATCCAACTCGGGTCCTGTGCTTGTGAGGCAGGCAGCGGCACCATTGAGCTAAATCCCCGGCCCTATTGGTTATTTTTTTTTCCTCATTGAGTTTATTGGTACATTTCAGGTATATAGTACAGTTACATTCATCATTGGGATCTTGTACCTTTACAGGACAGGTCTTGGTTCTCATTTTTTCCCCTTGTCCCTGCCCTCCCTTCACCCCCTCCTCCCCTCTCCCTTTATGAACACTTCATTTCCATTTTTTCATTTTCTCACAATTTTTCTTTTCCCTTATCCTCTTTGCCCTACCCTTCCCACTTCCCCTACACCTTTAGCTCTTTTCTTCCTATTTCACAATGTCAATTATCTCATTAGGATCTTATGTACTATTATAGTTTATTCACATCAGAGAAACTATTCGGTATTTACATGTGTGAC